AATGAAATAGAGCGCATCTTCTCCTAAGCCTTTACAGCCGCAATCATTGCAACTTGCTAGCTGGCCTGAGTAAGGAAGCTCTTAGAGGAGAAGATGGGTTTCAGTAAGTCTGGAGGCGAGAGGGGGGGGCAGAGAAAGCCCCCTAAACATCTGAATAGAAAGTTGATGATAATCTCCCCAATTGCATTACATGGGGGGGGTTGTTAAGAAACCCATAATTGTGCACTCTTGGCATCATAAAGGAAAGAATGGTTGCCTTGATGAGATTTTCTATTTTTTAAGATGAAATAGATCTTAGAATCTATTGACAATAATACTTTTCTCCACCCATCTAAAAAAAGGAGAAAAATTAATCATTAACATTTTGAATGTTATTCTTGCTTCTGCTCTCTGACTCCGTTTCTTTTTATATCACGGATTTATGTTTCTGATTATTCCTAAAGAAAAAAAAGGTGATAATTGGGAAAAAAACAGTTTTCTCTGTCTTTCCAAAATATATTTTCTTCCACAGAACCATGATTAAAATGTATGTATCCACAACAATAATAGAATAATAAAATAATTGAGCTGGAAGGAACCTATAAGGCCATCGATTCCAACCCCCTGCTCAAAGATCAAAGCAGATCTGAAGCGGGCGTCCAATTTTCTCTCAAATACCTCCAACGCTGGAGTGCTCACCACCTTGTACTGCTCTAACAGTTAAGAGGGCTTTCCTGATATTCAGCCTAAATATGGGTTCCTCACAACCAATTTTATTTCAGTCAGAGAAATCATCAGTGGGAAGTGCTGTGCATACCCAACCTGCAGGAACAGGTCAAGTCCAGTTGAGCTCTAAGCTTGATAGCAACATGTTGCATGTTAACATGCCGCTTTGGTAAGGTGTTACTTCTTGTAGTAATGAGTTGCTTTGTGGCATGCAATGACCGTGCTTACAACTCACAATTTTTTCAATGGAATGAGAAGGTCTTTGCTGAAATCCTGTTGATTAGTGTAATAAGTCTCAACTAGCTCCACTGAAGGGACATGGTGGCGCTGTGGGTTAAACCGCAAAAGCCTCTGTGCTGCAAGGTCAGAAGACCAGCCATTGTAAGATTGAATCCACGTGGCGGAGTGAGCTCCCGTCCCTTGTCCCAGCTCCTGCCAACCTAGCAGTTTGAAAGCATGTAAAACTGCAAGTAGATAAATAGGTACCACCTCAGTGGGAAAGTAACGGCATACCGTGGCTAGTCATGCTAGCCACGTGACCACGGAAACTGTCTTTGGACAAACGCTGGCTCTATGGCTTGAAAATGGGGATGAGCACCAACATTTGAGTCGGACACAACTGGACTAAATGTCAAGGGGAACCTTTACCTTTATTTAGGTCCACTGAATCAATGGGGATTTTAAGAGTCAGCTTCTCTGCAAGTTCCACTAATTCGGAAGGCCTATTCTAATTGTGACACAGGGCCTGTACAGACTGGTAGTTGTGGGTGCGGGGCGGATTGGGCTACAAATGGTGCGCTAAGGTGGAGGGAAGGAGCAATGTGCCATTTGGCACACTCTTCCCATCTCCCTAGCAAACAACTCTTTGTAGCCCAATAAGTTATCAATGATGCACTATCCCTGATCCTCTGCAAAGGGACAGGAAAAGCAATCTTTTCTCATGCTACAGATCCATACAAAGCAAGGTTTATCTGGTTTACTTGCAAGTCAATTTACCTGATCTATTCATGAGTAAGGCAACAGCAGCAACAGCAGCTGAGGACAGTTGCAGCTTGAGGGCAGAACATCGAGGTAAAGGCTGGGGAAAAAGAAGGAAGGCGACCCCCTTCCCCTTGCCTTTCTCTTCAACTGGGACTCAGCCGGGGCTGCATTGCCTTGTGGGGGTGAAACCTATGGTGTCAACATAGCCCCTTTCATGGCTTTTCTCTCAGATATCATTCAGGGGGTTGAGGGTGACTTCCCTTTTTTGCTTGTTAAAAAAGTTGGTGGCATAGCATAATGGCAAAGCATCAACCTGGCATGGTTTAAGTTCACTGCATGGGTTAGGAAACACAGGAAACATTAAAAAAAATTAAAAAGATGCAAGCAGAGAAGCCAGTTTCTCCATCCTCCCTTTTAATGCCACAGGGTTGTCTCCTCAGCTAACACTCCTCCCAATGTCATTTTAATGAAGGTAACCATCTGGGAAGGCTAAAGAAAGATATACAGTGGTGCCCCGCATAGCGAGGTTAATCCGTTCCGGATTAACCCTCGCTATGAGGAAACATCGCTAAACGGGACACAGAATGCCATTGGCTTCTATACTCACCGTTAAGCGAAGTTTCCTCATAGCGCCGCCATTTTCATGCCCTCGGTAAGCGAGGGCAGGGCGCGAAAATGGTTGCGGTGGCCATTTTGGGTCGTCCGACGGCCATTTTGGAGCCGCCGAACAGCTGATTTCCCAGTGTCGCAATGCGCAGATCGGTAAGCAAAACGCTTACCGATCTTCGCAATGCAAGGTTTGGCCATAGAGGCCATCGGTAAGTGATTGCATTAGCGATCTCAAAAAAGAGATCGCTATGCGATTTCGTCATTATACGGTGCGCTCGTTAAGCGAGGCACCACTGTATATTGTATGTCAATCAATCAAGTCAAAAAGACTGCATGCCCTAGCTCTGTACCAGTTTGGTACAGGAAATCTCTTAAAGAGAAAGGATGGATCATTCTAAGCAGAAACACAAATGGGCAAGGTCTTTTCTTTTGTGCCAAAAAGTGTCATCAGGGTTCCATATACCATAACTATATTCCAGTAGGGCCAGGTTCTTACTGCACTAAGTAGTGGGATTTGTTACTTTCTGAGTATTAGAGGGGAGGAGGACGTTCACACAGATGATTCATTTGCTGCATCCCACTGCCTGTTTGGATGGGGGAGGAGGCTTTACAACGTGAGTAAGAAAGAAAAGAAATTTCTAGTTTCAAGTTAAGAAAAGAAAGACAGGGAGAATTCAGGTTACCTGGAGGTGGGAAAAGACCCTTTAAAAGAGACTGATTTACTTTGGAAGTTGGAAAACAGAAAGGAGATCATAGCATGACAATAAAGGCACTATGAGGTGCTGAAATAGGCAGACTATAGAGGCAGCTTTGTTTTAGGCTTTGGGATGGAAAGGAGGGAAATGGAAGCAATGCACCCTCTCTGTCTTGAAGGAAGAAGCAATGTGAGCAGCAGACATTTACAATAGTCCAGGGGGGATATTTTTAGAGTAAGAGAGAGGTAAAAGGCAGCATGTAAACAACACACACATACCCTCATTTGCCTCACTTTCTTCATGATCCTGAACCCAGATGTGCAGACTCCTTAATTTTTCCCCATTTTCTCTCTTTCAAGCCCTCCCTCCTCAAACTAGTCACAGCTCTATGATAGGTCCATTCATCCACCAAATAAATACGAGTGGTGCCTCGCATAGCGACGATAATCGGTGCAGCAAAAATCGCTGCAAAGCGATTTCGTCACTATGCGATATTAAAAAGCCCATAGGAATGCATTGAAACCCCTTCAATACGTTCCTATGGGCTTCAGACTCACGTTAAAGTGAAAATCCTCCATACGGTGGCCATTTTCGCTGCTCGGTAAGTGAGGAATCCGTCCCAGAAAACAGCGGGCGGCCGTTTTTTTAACCCAGCTGTTAAAAAATCAGGGTACAGATCATCGCAAAGCGATTTCCCCCATTTAAAACATCGCAAAATCTTCATCGCTATGCGATTTCGTCGTTAAACGGAGCGCCCGTTAAGCGAGGCACCACTGTACTCAGAAGAATGTCCATCTTAAGAATATCAGCCAACCTGGCACTTGGTGTGTTGGATTACATACCCCAGTCCATCTCCAAGTGGACTGTGCATGGAGAGGCTGTAGTTCAAGATATCTGGGAAGAAGGTGCCAAGGAAAACTTTGCCTTTTAATGGCCAATATCCTCCTCCAGAGCTCCACCTGCACAATGGGAATGATATCACTGGCCATGGCAAATTGCCATTAATTAAAAAATCCACAGTCTTATTTCATTGCACAGAACTCCTGTGCACCCCAAAAAATGAAAAGAGAACTCTTTAATCAGTGGCAATCTGCTATTGCCCATGACATCATTCACACCTGCAACAGGATACTGAAAAATATGTGCTTGTTATGTTTGTGTGTGTGTGTGTGTGTGCATTTTACAGTACTCTATGGGGGGAAAAGGGGAACTGGCCACTTGACAAACTGATGAAGAGAAACACATAACATTTCTAAATGGAATAAGGACAAGTGCGATGACAACTTGCAAGCCCAAAGAAGTGGGCTACAGAATCCGTTATTTTTTTAAAGTGATGCCCTAAGCCTAGCAACTTGCCTAAAATTGTTTTCTGCTGATTCAGATGTCTTATTGCTGCCTTTAATGCACTTCCAAAAAGATGGCAGTAGCCTCTATTGCACTTAGGCAGAAATCAGCCCCCAATTCAACCTTTCCCTTTTCATTATTTCAGTAAGATGCAAGCAGATGTATCTTTTCTGGGGCTTCGTCACAAAATCTTTACACAAATGTCAGTTTTCGAGGGTAGACAGTATGGGGAGTGCTAGCAGAAGTTATGGTTCCATTTACAAAGAGGAATGACTGGATGACGTGAACGAGGCATCCTTTTGTGAGCGATGCCACCTCCCCACCTTCCTATTGCTTAGATGAATAACGATCTCAAGCACAGGTGCTGTCCATGGTCAGTCATTCTGCAGAGAGGCCTCTCTGCTTTGATACTTAATACATGTACTGCTAGGTATACCTTGAGCTTCCATTTTCAAGGGCATACAGATTCCACTTGATTCACTGAATATAGGTGCTCCACCAACGCCAGGGCCACAACTAACCAACCATCTCTGGCAAGGGCCAAACACATACACTAAGCACTAGGATGGGTGGGAGACTAGGGTACAAACCTCTTCATCTGTTAGCCTCGTCAATTGGCTGTGTTTGATTATTTCTGGTTCACTGAATGCCACTTATTGTTCTTACCCTGTTTGAGTCCATTCTTGCCCTAGACGTATAAATGGGTGGAGGAATGTTAAAGGCCTGAGGAACTAGGTATTCTTCAGCATCCATCATGTCTTCCAGGTCTCCTTCATCCAGCAGATTTTGGAAAAACTTGCTGTCATTTGGGCTTGGGAGCTTCATGCGGTCATCTCCCTGGACATAGCACATGGACAGAATTTTTTAAAAAATGTTTTGGTAACATTATAATGTACTTTGATGCCTGTCCAGCAGACACTATATAGAGTCAGTTATTCAAGTTGTCTGAAATCATTACATAATGTGTTGTACTTTTTGTGTTTATTAAATTCTATTACTTTTTCCATTTCATAGACAAGGAAATGTATTCTTAAAGGCTATTTAACACTAGATGAAAATAATATAAATGCAAAAATGGGTGATACATGGTCTTTTCCTGATTTTCTCTAGATGAAAATAGAAACTATTCTTGGAAAAATATTGGGAATATAATAATAAGAAAATAATCTTGTGATATTGGGACTATCTTTTGAGAAGATTAGATTCCTTGGCCAAAATGTTTACATTATTGAAGTTAAATTGACCAATAAATTGTGATTCGAATAAAAGAGGCGGTAGGTTTTTGTGAGGATGGATGCCTGTTACTCTAGATGTAACTACTTGGGCCTTAATTCACTCTACTTTCAGTTCTGCAAGAGTTACTGGCGTTGTCTTTGCCTGTTACACAAATGTGCTATTGGTCCCCTCCCTTCCTCTTCAATACTCTTCCTTGCTGGCACAGAGGCATTAACACTGGGAAATCCTGCACCGTCTGCTACTAAGGTAACAACAGACGGTGCTCAAATTCTCAATATTTCTTGACACATTTTCAACAATTGAGCTTACTGACATTCAGTGTTTTGATTCAAGCCAATTTATACTAACGGTGGCCAGAAATGCCCCCAAATGAGTAAAAAGATCGATTCCCTTTACTTCTGCCTGAGTTATTACCACAGTGCTTAAAAAGTTTCTCTTGAACACGGAAACTGAATATTAAGGTATTGATTTTTGGTTTTTTACTTTTAATGGCTGCTTTTTGGTTTTGCTTTCGCAGAAGGGAGAAAAACATGCAGTTCACCATTGTTTAGCTTAATAGAAGAATCCAGTGTGTTGTGTTATTTTTTAAAAAAACCCACTTAAAGAGCAGATGTTAATGAAAGCGTAGAAAGAACATGGATATAAAGCAAAATAAATCATCTTGCTGAAACTTTGTTTTAGTTCTTTTCTGCTTGGTGATAGCATAATCAGAGAAACATCACTGGGAGGTAAATTAATCTTCTGAATACAGCTCTTCAGTTGCATGAGGAGAAGGAAAGTTGGCTGCTACAGGGGTTCCGCACCCTTACGTGTGGTGAGGCAAATAAAGATTTAATATGTGCAGCCACCAACCTAGCCAGGTCCTATTAGGATCATCCTCACACCTATGAGCAATTCCAGATCCAGCATGCCCACTAAATCCTGCAGTAAATTCACGATTTGCTGGGTGTTCTGAAAATCTCAGTAGCTGTGAGTACAACTGCTGAAGGCCTAAAGAATGGAGGCCTGGACCTTTTCCATGTAAGCTCATCACCAGTGCATGGAGCGGCAAGTCCCACATTTTCCAGATCCACAATGCCCGTAAGAAGTCAGAATGCCCACGCTGGACCTAATGAAAGGCTACGTCTGTTCCTGTACCCTGCATTCTTCTAAAATGCTTTTCTTAATTTTTTAAAAAAGGCTTTAAAATATATATATAAAACTAAAAAGTCACTCTTTCCCACTACTGGCTAAAGTTTGTGTAGGGTGTGGTGTGTGTGTGTGTGTGTGTGTGTGTGTGTGTGTGTGTGATATTGCAGAATCTTTGACATGAAAGAGAGAGGCTTGCCCACTAGATATGGGCATGAACTGCTTTTCAGAAGTTTGGCCCTGTCTGGTTTGGCATGGCACCCACACAGGGCACTGTGCACTTCCTTCCCTGCCTCCTCTAGGCAATTGCCCACTCACTGAGAGGAGCGTGATTCCCTCTCCTTTGCCTCCTCTATGCGATCATCCACTCAGCAGAGAAGGCAGGATAAAGAAGCCCATGGCACTGCTTCTGAGGGGGGTGACCGCCCGGAAGAGGCAGAGGAGGGAATTGCACTGTTGCTGGGGAGTGGGTGGTTGCCCAGAGGAGGTGGGGCAAGAAGTATAGGGCACCCACAGAAACCTGTGCGGGGGCTGCACCAAAGTGGGCCAAGCCACAGAAGTGTTGTGTGTGCCCATCTCTACTGCCAACCTTTCCCCACCTTGTTAAGTACATCCCTAAGATTTTAAAATAGTAAAAGAAAACTATTGTACAACAAAAGTGTTGCAAGATCCATGTATCAAACAGGGATGAAACCAGATCCTGGGACTGCTTGTGGCCTCTTGATGCATATAAAACCTGTGCTTGCTCCCATGTAATATCAGTGAAATGGCCTTCCAAAACGACGTACAGAGACAAAATCAAGATACTGTGGAGCTGTTCACCTGAATGACCAGGTATCTCTGAGGATCTCGAGCCATTCTAGAAAATTCCGCAGCCAGCTCCTTGAACTTCGGCCGACTGTCAGCATCAATCATCCAACCTGGAGAAGAAAAAGGTTTCTTGTGAAGAACAAGCAATGCTTGGTATTTTCATAATCAGAGAGTGGCGTATGCCCAAGATGGCTACTCCTGAGGGAAACTTCAATGGTTGCTGAAGCGAATGGTGGGGGGCACTGGATGGCACTCAGGCCTCGGCATTCAGCAACAGGAGCAGCAAAATGAGTCCTTGCCCACAGAAAATAAACATGTTCAGTAGAAATTTTCTATGGAGAAGGCTACAAATTGATGTCCCACATGTGTAGGGTGAAGTGGTACAACCCAGAGGCAGGTTCACCTCTTATCAGGCTTCTGTGTCAAAGCATCCAAAGGAAGAGGAAAAGGACAACTTTTCACTGCTTCATGTTGTAAAGTCTTCTTCTTAGGCCATCATTGTTCCTGAAAAGCTCATTTTGCTGATTTGGTATGCAGTTTCAGAAGAAGGGAACTTCTGTCTCTGCCACAGCGGTGAAAGAAAGCTGGGTTCTGAGGGTCTCTGCAGTGGTCCCCTTACTATACCATCTTCTTGTGACACTGAACTGAGCTGGCTACGTTTCCCATCCAAGCTCTTTCAGGCTGCTACAGCTTGTCACCTCAAGAAGCTAGCTGGATTAGCTTCATTGTATTTTCAGTCGGATGTTTTTGTCTGTACACATGAGCTGCAAACCCCATGTGGAGGAAATGGTTGTTTGTTAATCTCATTTAAATTAAGTCAGAAACACCACAGAGACTTTCTTAATTCTTTTTAAATTAGAAGCTAGTGCTTCAGGGTCACATTTTCTAGTATGTACACATAGGAGGGGTACGAATGTGCTGGGTGAGAATCCAGATGTAAATAGCACAAATAAAAATAATTTGCCCCTGGTTTCTTTTATATCTGTTCCCCTGTCCCCTTAGAAAAACAGCTAAAATACTAACATCTATAAAATGCAGTTTCTGCACAGGAATACCTATTCCCTCGCAACTAAGTTTGTTTCATTATATGAATGCAAATTCTTTTCCATTAAATATCTTGGTGTTTCCTCCTTCTTCACTATGTCATAACAAGTAAACTTTCACCTTTTACAACCCTTAATAACGTATGAGAATATCTGAGTACCACACTTATGTGAAATGCCATCCTCTAACGAATTGTCATGGAAATGACAGCACTTTGTGTGCTACAATTTTGACTCTGCAGCAACAATGTCTGATGCTAATTTGCTGACAATAAGAGTCCAAGTTAATGCAAACCTCCATAGTCAGGTTTGTATCCTTCACAGCGTCCAAGATGCTTCTATATAATATTCAGCTCTAATTTATGTAGGTATCTGAATAAAATGCTTCGAAACTGTAGAAACAACCTTGCAAAGGGTTTGAGAGAGTGACTGCAAGCTGCAAGGGAACAACATCCTTTGAGTACAACTCACCCACAGAGCTACACCTGAACAGAAACTACTCACATTTTACCATCACCATGTAAACATCAATGGTGCAGATGGGAGGCTGTGGCAGGCGCTCCCCCTTCTCGAGCAGGTCAGGAATTTCTCTTGTGGGGATTCCATCATAGGGTTTTCCACCAAACGTCATAAGCTCCCAAATGGTGACGCCTAAAACATAACAGAAAAGACCCTGCATTAGTTAATGCATATCTAACATACCTCTCTATCAGGGGTGGGCAAAATGCGGCCCTCCAGATGTTGCTGAACTGGAACTCACATAATTCCTAGCCCACACAGCCAGTAGTGAGGAGATTTGGGCCTAGCCCACACAGTGAGGAATGTTGGGATTTGCAGTTCAGGAACATCTGGAGGGCCGCACTTTGCCCAGGTCTGCGTGACATGCACACACAAACACAACACACAGACTTGCACAAAATCATCAGACTCAGTCAATGTAAAGTTATTTTGAGAATTTGTACCACTTTGGGTGCAGTTCTTACTTTTGGAGTATATTAACCAGTTTCTCCATCAAGTTTAGCAAGACAAAACACAAAAGACTAGCTCACACCCTGATATGCACCACCTCTCAAGCAGCACTTCCATCCTCCATCCATTCCTGGGGATCCTATGCTCGAGGCACAGGTCATCTCCACAGGGGCTGGCTCTGCAGAAAAAACACTCAGAGGAAGGCGTGTGGGCCTGGATCTCTTTGTGGGAAGCCAGATTTTGGGTTTTTTTGGTGAGTTGTGAGGTTACCCACCGTTCCCCTTGCTCTCAGGTGTAAAGGGTGTGGGGCCATGGTTGGCAGTGCTTCTTCTCTTGCCTCAGGCGGCAGGAGAATTTGGACCACTACTGTTTGCACTCACAAGGATGCAATGGGTTGAGCCAATCCTATTTAAATAAAATGGCATCTGAAGAAAATCTGTTTTCACAGATTCAACTAAAGTTTCTGAGAAATATCAACATTCTATTTTCCTGTTGCTATTGTTGCACAACCTGCTTGGAGTGTGCACAATCCACGTACTGTTGCACAATCCACTGGGAAGTGTGAGCAAGCACAGTGAAACAATTTGTAAGGCCTTTGGATACCACAGAGCGCACAGTGAAACAATTTGTAAGGCCTTTGAATACCACAGAGCTCTTAAGTAGCTCCTATTCCTTTCAAACAACCAACAAGAAAGATAATTCCTTTGTGAATTGTAGCCACAGCCAGCCATTCTCAACATTGTTGTTGTTGTTGTTTGCCATAGCCATCAACAAAATAGGAAAGAAACGTAAGCCAAATCAGGATTGAATAAATTGCATAGCAAACCTTATAAGGTGGTTTGTGAGTAATTGTATCCAGTCTGTGGCCCTCTTCAAATGTGCCAGGGCCCCCAAGGGGGCCATACGCCTCTCATTGAGAATGGCAGAGACTTGAAAAATCTATGTTTATTCCATCCTATCCTGATAGCATCTGCTTATATGTTTAAAATTAACATATAAAAAGTATATTAACCAAAACTCTGTTGTAATATACATGAAATAGTAAAAAAAAAAATACATAGCAGGTTTAACTCAAGACAAAATGGGTAATTTAACAATTGGATCCTCACAGTCTTGTCAAGCTATGATATTTTGTACTAAAATAATTAAGGTGTGTATGTGGAAAATGCAATCCTGAAAATGTGCTATATTTAAAAAATGACGTTTGAACAGCAGTTTACTAAAAGTAAAATTATCAGCCAGCTTTTCAGCAAGGGCATTGTAAGATAAGTGAATTTCTTTCATGGCTGACAGTTGAGCTTTGGGACAGAATTAAAAATGTATTGAAATAAGTAAAATGTTGCAATGTGTAATATGACCGGAGATGGCATTTGCAAATCTTATAACTTGCAATCTCCGTAGCTACCATACTATAGGAACCTTTTGGCACAGTGGTTAAACGGCAGTACTGCCATTAAGACTCTGCTCAATATAGGAACCTTTTGGCACAGTGGTTAAACAGCAGTACTTCCATAAAGACTCTGCTCAAAACCTGAATTTTATCCCAACAGGCTCAGGTGGCTGACTCAAGACTAACTCAGCCTTCCATCCTCCCAAGTTTGATAAACTGAGAGCTCAAGACTGACTCAGCCTTCCATCCTCCCAAGTGTGATAAACTGAGAGCTTGCTGGGGGAAGAGGAATATGTAGTCTGCATAATTAAACTGTAAACTGCACAGAGAATGTTTTACATGCAATGGGACAGTATATAAGCAGGACACGTTATTCTTTGTTTTACATGCCTTTCTTCCTCCTGGTTTTGAAAACTTTAGTCACGACAACAGTGTTTAACGTCATAGTGGCAGCCTGCCAGATTCTAAGCCCTTGTAGTTACAGAAGGTGGAAATACAAAATAAATTCCTATTATAAAATTTCTGCAGATGCATCAACAGAAATAACTTTCAGGCCCTGGAAAAGATAATGTTTACAATTTAAAGAGAAAAAGTAAATACCTAAAGAAATATAAAAATGGGGAAGCAAGACACACACACATCACCATCCCAATGCAACATGCCGTGCAATACATTCCAACATAAGATACCAACAAAAATCACATAGCAAGAGCGGCAACAGCAGCAGCTGATGAGAATAATAAAGATTTTCTTCCTTAGATTCAAACTAGTTTGGCTCGGTGAGCATTTAGAATTATTGTGTGTGTGTTCTTAATATGCTTAAAGGCTAAGAAAGTAATTTTCTTTAACATAGTATTTCAGAGATGTACTCTCTGGTTTTTGATTGTGCCTTCTTGGGTTGTGAGTTCTTGAATTTTTAGAATGTAAAACATGCTCTTTGTTCTTTTTTACTCTTAAAATATATTTCTACGGTATTTTCAACTGAATTCCGACTTAAGTATTTGGCTGCAACTGAAGTTTAGTTTTCATATATTTTTAAGCATTTGTGTCCACAGTTTTTCACAGCTGTAAGATTTTTGGATGTTTTAGCAACTTTGAAGTGTTGTAGTTATGGAATATAGAAACAATATAGATAAATAAAGTTCATAGAACTAGACAAGCTGATGTTGCCTTGAATTATTGCAACAATGACAAGACTTTTATACCTTGATACCTAGGCGAATGTTTGATATGATTGGACATGGCTGTCTGATTTCATTCTGGAATTAATCCCCTGTTGGGATAAATGCCAGCTGTGATGAACACAGGCTTCTGATTTTTTCCCTAGAGGTCAATAAAGTTCTGTAGAGCTCTAGGAGAGATGTTCAGACATCAAGCTCTCTGACCTGACAGTCTGCCATATTCTGCCATTACAAGCTTCCATAAATGAAAACAAAATAATGTTAGCCCCTGCCATTTGGAAATCTAAGACCTATAGAAGACTGATAGACAAGTGTAATTCTTGAAAGTGTCCTCCCTTCAAAGAAGCCCATCTTTTGATCTATTTGTGAAAGAAAAAAATGAAAAGCTGATTGTGAGCCTGCCCTGCCTGGCCAGTGTAGTGGGCAGACCACCTCATTGGGTGTAGCAGAAGAGTTTTCTCTGCTCACTACACCTGGGTTGTAGGCTGAAGCCAGGGAGAATGCCGCCATGGTCCATGCAGGCGCAGCTGTGGGTTTGTCTCTAGCTCAGAGACAAAAGGCATATCAGAAGACTCAGAGGGGAAGGATCAATGGGAAAACACAGAGGGCTGGCTGATGGCATTTGAGGGAAAAGAACTCTGTGTCCATCCACCCTGAGGACAGCTCATGGTGTCACCGGAAGAAGCTAGTAGGATGACTAGATGGGGCGAGGTACCAAGAGCTGGGATGTCTGGAAACTAAAGAGGCGCTGAAGACAATACAGACAAGTGGCTGGCCTTCTTCCCTCCCACCTTGAGCCCTAGGTTCCCCAGCCAGCCCAATCAGCCTAATCTCTGCCTCCATGTCCAGCCAACTCATGCAACAGCTTCTGTGTGAACTCTGCTTATGCCACCCAGGAGGTAGTGCGCACAAATGTTCCCTCTGTTAGAGCCCAAAGGACATGGGGATATGGTCGCAAAAGGGCAGTCTGCCTTCTGCCTGCAAAACCTCTGGCGGGTTTCCTCAAAAGACCTCCCACACAAACTGTACAAAGTTTGGGGAGTGAAGCAACTCCCTGGTGCCCATGAAACTCTGTTGACTAGAGATGGGAGTATTCATATAGAAATATCCCCATGGAGCTGAAGTTAACGAAGGTCCGCCCCTTGGGGCCAGACCCTCCACTCATGCATCTGCCAGCGGCAGCCTCGCTCATCCTTCCAATCAATCCCGGAGTGCCGCTCTCTTCCTGCTTGGCTAGCAACTCAGCAGCCATGCAGGGAGACTTGTCCTCCCTCCCCTTGTCTGGACTGGCTAGTCAAGCAGGAAGAGAGCAGGTCTCTGGGAGTGACTGGAAGGATGAGTGAGGCTGCCACCACTAGATGCATGAGTGGACGGTGTGGACCCAGGTGGCAGACCCTTGTTAACTCCACCTGCATGGGGATATTCATATTCTTATACCCCCATCTCTAGTGTTGACCCACTGGACTAAGGTTTGTGGCTCACTGTGGGAGATGGACCTTGTTTTGGACTTCTGTTCCCACCCAGAAAGGCCTGTGTCCACAAGGAGTTCTTACATTTCCGGCTCAGCAGAGTCCGGGCCTGACAAGAAAACTGTGTTGTGCCTGGCCTGAAGGGGCCTAGTCCTGCTAAGGACATTTCAGTTCTCACCCCAGCAGGTCCTGGGTCTGCAAAGGACTGTATAACCATGGCCTTTTGGGGCGTAAGTCTGCCAAAGCCTATTTCTGTTTGGGGTCAAGTCGGACCCAATTCTGTAGAAGGCTTTTGGTATAAATTGTTTTCTCCTCTTCCTCACTTTAATGAAGCTCCTTCCTCTGCAAAGACTCGCCCTCTCACCATGGAGGGGGCGGCAGGGGCAGCTCACACTGATCTAAAAACATTATTTTTTTTAAATAGCACAATGTTTTTTGTAACTTTTGATATCATTTCCCCTTAAAAGTGAATAATGTTATATTGTCTTTATGCCCCACATCTTGCAAAATACTGTACACGTACATCTTGAAACATTTTTTGGATCTGAGTAATGATAGTACAGTATTTCTGTAACTAGAGTATTATTTTAAAATGTCCTCAAGGATACTTTTGTACACATCTTTCAGTTAAGAAGGAAGATA